GGATAGTGTGTATGTAGAACAACAGATGGCTCTGAAAGAGAAAGTAGAGAGTACTCTGAAATCAATCAGTTGGTGAGTGTCGTTGGAGATGGAAGTAGCCCATGTTGAGCAGCATGATTACATCAAAATAGCCGTTCTCCAAGGGAGAAATGCGATGGAATGTCACAGTGAATTAATAGAAAGCCCTTGGGAATAATGCCCTACCATATCGTACAGTAGCTTGGTGGGTAGGAAAGTTTCAGCAAGGATGTATGTCAAACAATGATGAGCAACGTTCGGGACGACCGGTGAGTGTGCGGACCAACTTGGCACTTGCTGTCATCGAGCGTCTCATGATGAATACAGACGACGGACATTCTGGAGTTAGAGAGGTCAAGTGGCATCGAGAAATGCACCGTCCACAGGATATTGCATAATGAGCTACAGCTACACAAAATCGCTTTGCGGTGGGTACTGCATGCACTGACGGAAGTTCAAAGGTGGGTGCGCTATGCAATATACGACCATTTTGCATGCCTGCAACAAGACAGCGATTAATTCTTGTCACGAATAATCACCATCGATGAATTCTGAGCCAGGGCATACAAGCCAGAACTGAAACGTCAGTCTGTGGAGTGGCGATATCCTGGATCACCAAGGCAGCAGAAGGTCCGTCAGAATCCTTCCCCAGTCAAATTGATGGTGATTGTCACGTATGATGTCAGGGGTGTCAATGTTTGCCACTTTGTTCCTCATGGCAGAACAGTGACTGCACAGTACTACAAGGACTTCCTGGTGTGACAGGTAAGACGTGGCATTCAGGATAAACGTTCGGATCTTGTGGACAGTGCAATAATTCTGCACAACAATGCAAGACCACATAAAGCAGAGTGTGTACGGCAGCTACTCCGGCGTTGGAGATGGGAAGAATTGGAGCAGTCATCATACTCTCCCTGACCTTTTGCCCCATGACTTTGATCTCATTCCCAAGATTAAGGAACCAATATGTGGTAGGCGGTTTGCAACACGAAAGGACATTGCTAGTGCTGTGCGCCAACAGATGACCCGATTCACACATGATAAGGCAAATGCTGAGGCTGATGGTATTCAGCACCTCCCACATCGTTGGCAGCGTGTGGTGACAGTAGCAGGGGACTACATTGAGGATCTTTAGGCCCAGGTTTGTGATGTCAACTTTATGTGCATTGTGTTATCATTCTTTTGCAACAGTGAAGGCCATATTGCCCTGTATACTACCATAATAAATTCGTGTGTTACAATATTTCAGTGCTATTCATTGTCCACACATGTAGTTAAGACTTTGTCCTTTCGTCTGTATATGTCACATTTTCCAACTGGACTGATATCTTCAAGAAAAAAATAGTTGCCATGACTTTTGCCCCAACTTATGTATATACATGAAAAGATGTACACATAAAAACATTCAATATTAAGAGGATCAGTTACTAAACTCTGTTGCAAGATTAAAGGTGAAATTTGCAAAAACAGAAATAACTGCCACCGGCAGTGAACTTTATTAGAACAATTAAAAGACTAATTGAAAGTTTTAAATTGATGGACATCAAAATAGAAAAGTTAGTAGATCAAGTTCTTTACCAATAACAAGAAAAAATCATAACTTGGAGATTTACGGCAAACAAATATTTACAATGTCTGAATCAAAAAAAAAAAAAAATATAAATAAATAAATAAATAAATAAATAAATAATAATAATAATAATAATTCTTCCAAATCTCCAAATTCATCACTTAATACAGATGCAAATCTGTAGCAAGTGTCTGATGTGAAATTGCCTAAAATAACAATTCCCAAATTTTGTCGAAAGATAAGTGATTCGCTTACATTCTGGAACTCATTCAAAACATTGATACCCAATAAAAAAAATCATTTAAAGAAAAAAAAAAGGGAGGAGTTCCATCCTTCTCATTAAATTTCAGCTTCTTTTTGTTACATACAGTTTTATTAAAATTGATTCCATATTTACTACAAATGCAAGTTTAGAGGCAATAAATACAAAAGTAACTTTTTTTTAGTAGTTCTTTTGGTTGGAAGCTTAGAGTATGATTCAAGCTTTAACAGTCTAAAAAACACTGCTTGGTTACAGTTTTCATTTGTTCTAATCACAGTCTGACAGACACTTTATGATGGTTCCACAGGTCTTTTCATATGGTGTGGTGTATTTAATTATGGCAAAGCACACTAGGGCTATCTGCCTAAGGGGAGGGACGCCTTCGTGGAGGACTTTCTAAGAGAAACTGGCTCGTATACACGTTACACATGGGGAAAACCACGAAAACACCCATGCAGCCAGCCCGTTCGCGGGATTCGAACCTCGGACTGAACTACCAGTGTTTAGCGACTTTACCGCTCGGCCGCTGGTGGGCTCCACAGGTCTTTAATTTTCTAAACTTCCCATTAAAAAATTCTTCCAAATCTCCAAATCAAAAAATTTATATAATTAAAGGCCAGTTTACACCTGTCTGAGCAACCTGCAGCGAGCCCCTCACTATGACTACTTTGACAATGTAAACGTTCCCTTCGTACAAATAGAAACGTAAGGGAGATGAGTCAGCGAGTCCTTTTCTACTTTGAACCAGTTGAAAATCTTATCTGGGCAGTAACTCCAAACAGTGTTTGCAGAGACATCGTGCCCAATTTTTTTGTCATATCGAAAATGCCGATATGGAACAATAATCTAATTATGGTATTTTTTAATGCATATGCATCTTGTGAAGAATTATGGGATACTTCACTATTTGAATATTACAACTATTGTTTACTAATACCTAAATATAATGTGGATATAACTACTGATCAGAATAAATTTAGGTTTTTGATATTGTAGAAAAAACATAGAAGAAAATTAAATTAGGGTATCAGATTCAAAATATTTAATTTAAACTGATTTATTTCAGAATTTTCTTTATTCAAAAAACAATTAAATTATATTTTATTTTCAATTAAAAAAAATAAGTGGAAGAGCAAACATTTATTTTATTTTGTTGATATAAACTTCAAAAAATCAGTTTCTACTCATGGCCAATTACATCTAATAAAATATATTCTAAAATTTTGAAATTTCGTTTTATGGACTTTCCTTTTTATTTGAACCACAAATTAGATTTCATTTACAAGCGATCAGTTGGAAGTATTAAAATAAAAATCACCAACAGAAGGCGTATAAAGCTATTATTAACATGTTAAAATTTAAGGGTTCAAGCAAAAGATTCATAATTTTCACTCAACCACATACACAGAAAATGGCCTCAAACACTTCTGGAATATGCCGATTGTACATTTTGGCCTTTGAAATAAATATTGCAGTAGTAGACACCCGTTCCCACAAGCTGAAGTGCTATCTGCGTTTTAATTTTGCTGGCACAGCGTCTTGAAAGATATATATATATATTTTAAATAAATAAGTGGAATGACCATTTCCAATAAAGTTTCAAATTATCCTTCACCTATTCTGATGAAGTTTTTGTAACTTTGGACATCCTCACCCCCAAGTTCATTTAAAAGTTTTTTAAGGTGAACTACACAGTCACATCTTGATTCCCCCCTTTTTTTTAAGCATAGAACAGAAATTAATTCATTGGAAACTGCTTTGCAAACTTCAAGTACAGCAACTTGCATGTTGGTATCCATTTTGCAAACAAACGGAAGCAAGCTGTCAGTCCGCTCTGACTGGTGTAAACAATATATCAGAGTACAGGTCCGTTCACTCGGTTTGAGACACTTGGACGAGGGGCTCACCGACAGTCACTCGGAGCTCAAAATTGGCCTTAATGCATTCAACTAACTGGAATATTTTAGAATTAAATTAACTTTTTTACTATAGCATTATCTGACAATGGAAACCATTCCATCATGTATTCTGTATTTACTTGTGATCATTTTTCATACTCAGAAGGATGCACTTTTGTGTATTATATTACTGTATGTTAATCATTACTATATTATACTATGAGATTTCAGAATCGCATCTCTAGAAAACTTTCTACCCAGAGTCTTGATGTTATAGCAGTTAAAAACCAAAAGAAAGAATTAAACAGTCAAAAATAAAGAAGTTTTGAATATATTCAATACTAATTTAAACTAGCTATTAGTCATTAGTTTAATAATAATCATTTTATTCCACAAATACTTATTTATTTTTTTATTCAATACTTTAGATGATTATTTTCAAGACTAGGCTGAAAGGCAAAATAAGACTTCTAACCACATTTTCTATAAAATGTTAAATGTTTTTGAAGACTGCAGGCTTTGCTCTTAAATTAAAAATTTTTAGGTTTCACTCTCCATTGTGATAATGGGGGGGGGACTTTACTTATTACTCCGTATATTTATAACAGTAACCTGTAATATTATATCAGTATCATTCCCACACATAAAACACTATGAATTAAAATCCTTACTGTTTTATAATAACAGTTTTTAATAATTACATAATATTCAAGCTGAAACATATTCTCTTCGATCCTATACTCAATCTGCTGCATGGTTGTGATCTGATTAGAGGATCAATTATATTGCATGCTCATCTGTAAGTGTCTCAGCATCAAATGGAAGTTAATCACTAATACAGTTCTTTATAAACCTATGATAACAAATGCATTTTAAGACTGAACATAAATCTCCTTAAATATCTGATCAGTCATAAAAGTTTAGTATTTTTGACCAAATTCAGAATAAAAATTTTTATTTCAATGAAACCCAAGAAAATCTTTAATTCAACAATAACATTTATACACATGGCACTGTTACTATATTGAGCTGTTTTGCATTTAATATTATCCATTTATGTAAAATTCAATGGATTTCATTTTTACATCACAAAGAATTTAAGCTTAGCTACAAGAAATCTATTCATTATATTTAAAAAAAAAAAAAAAAAGAAAAAAAAAAGAAACCACATAATACATACACTCATATTACTCTTCTAGTAACTTTTATGGCAAAATTCAGTTCAAATGATTAGACTTTTGATTACACATACCTTAGAAGTTAACAGCAATATTTCATAAGAAGCAGCAAGTAACCTAAATTTTTCAACAGTTACATTAGGCCACTTTGAACTTCCACCAGGAGGTATGATTCCAACAAGATGACAACTTACTGCAAATGCCTCATCAAAAGTAAACTTTTCCAATAACTTCCGCATGCCTTTTTTAGAAACTTCTTCTGTCATGCCATAATCAAGATAATGAATCTAAGAAAAGAAAATTAAAATTAATTTCTCTAATCTGAAAGCAAATGTACATTATACCAATACAGCCTATGTATACTAAATCAACATTACAAGCACAGACAACAGTATCAAATTAATTATGTGATATTTATGTAAATATATAAATGAACACTTAGAATTAATGCTAAATATAACTATAAAAATATGTAAATATAAAATTGTAGATTTAAAAACTTCTATAAGTTCTCAACCTTAAATATATATAAAAGAATTTCTATGAAGAAGTTTATTTTACTCAAAATCGTCGTACGACTGAATAAATTCTTATTGAAACTATGATTTTACAGATCCATTCTTCTGACAAGATGTTAATGCAAGCCACGGAAACACACATATTATGTTTTAGATAATTTATCAGAACAATAAAAATGCTTTGCTTAGCCTAATACAAGAAGCAAATTCTTTCAAAATATATGACTTTGCGCAGAAACACATAAAAATTTTGAAGGGGCTATTGCCCAAAATAATTATATTCCAATTCCCAAGCTTCCAAATTAAATATTGCTTTGCAAACAAATATCCTCACCTAATATAGTCTGTATAACCTACAGTACTAGCTACTCATTAAATCAGTACTCATTATCTCTTCAGTAATAAAGAAAAGTTAACAGAACAAAGTTCGAGATCCAAACTTATCACGACTTCAACAATTCCAGATTTGGGATTTTCTGGATATTATTAGATCATGAGTTTAAAATTTAGTAAGACAACATGCAGAAATTAAAAATATTAAATAATGATTTATGAGATAACAAAGCATTCATGATGAAACATCCCTTAAACAATTCATCCCTCCCCAAAAAACTCAATATTTTTATTTGTTTGCTTTATTAAACATTTCTTTCATAGTAGTTGTTTAATCTGCTTTGTCTTCTGTGCTAATACACTTTGTGCTATACTTTGTGTTATTTTCTCTTTATTTCTGTAGACAGAAATATTTTTTCTGTAGTTACAAAGTTTCACTGTTCAAGTCCTGTAATTGCCATGTCAAGAATTCCCACTAAATTGTCAGTCGAAATTTTCTCGTTCTGTTACCTCTCTGTCACTTTCTTCACTATGGATAGTGATATTTTCTGGACTTAGAACCATGCTACAAATTTTGCTGTCTATTAATTGATTAATGACTGGGTAGGTGATATTGCAATCATGTTATCATCTTCATTTATTACCACTTTCCACATTTCTTTTAAAATTCTATTAACTGAAGAATTTCTCTTTTTGTTCATGATATCTGAAAACTTTCAAATTTGCAGCATTCATCATAAAATTTAGCTAGCTATTAGTGATTTATTATTAGTGAATACATTATTAGTGATGTATCATGAGATTGGCAACTAAAGATGTTTTACTACACTTTGTCTTGCTTCTGTCACATGTTGACAATGTTAAATTTGAATTATTTTAGTTATTTATTATATTTATACCTATTTCCTCCACATGCTTAAGGTTTATCTTAATCCTGAATAAATAGGTTTCCTTATATACTTAAGGCTTATCCAGGCCTGTCCTAGCACAGTCTTTGCGGGTCTGAAATTCTGTTGCCAAGAACTTCTAAATTCTAAAAATTTTCCCGTCCTTAATTTTGTTGCTTGGTGCTTAAGTAAATTCTAAAAACTTAGTCTCTCGTAAATTCTAATGTCCAGTGCGGCCACACCGTTTCTAGCACAAATCCTGGGCTTATCTGAACAACAAATCAGTCATTCTTAATTCAAACAGCAATAAATATAATCTTTTGACTTATGAGTATCATTTAGAAAATCTTTTTTGCATATGGAAACAAATTTCTCCTTGTTAGCACACTCAACACTTCGCAACTGAGTTGGTTTAAATCTGTAATCATCATTCAGCATACATAAAAGTTACCATACTCTTTGATATTCAATTACTCTTATAAAAAAGAAAAAGTGTTTAGATATTGCTGCATGAGACATTTCTCAAGCTGCAGTGTGTTGATAGTCATGTGGGTTATGAAAGCAAAAAATAATAACTAATGATTTGCCAGGTTGGGGTTAGCCTCAAAGTGAAACTAAGAAATAGGACTCTTCATGTGTTTTTTTTAATAAAAAAAATATCAAATTCATAAGTGTAAAGCATATAAAAAATTATTAAAAAAAAGAAGAAGTTATTGGTGATCTAGGGGTTTGAGTTTTAGATCATTATGGATATTAGACATCTAGATTTTAGACTTTGTACTGTATATCAAATAGAAATAAAGTCATGCACACTGAAAAACCTAGTAAAAATTATCTGCTTTATTAATTTTGTTAACTCTTTATTACAGTTCGACATTAAGAAAAAATGATACAATAAACACGGAATAACTTGCTCACAGATTTAATTTAATTCAATTTTTTTTAAAAAAATGAATAGTAAGTGAACAAAATAAAAAAGAACCTAAAATTTTTTTCACTATTTTTTTTAATACAAAAATTATTCAGTCATACAGTCAGGCTCCTTTCTGTGCAATTTATTTTTAATGCAAAATTTCAAAAGAAAGTCTCTTGTATTGTTATTAGGTGGAAATATAACACAGGATTTCAAAATAAAAGCAGTGCTTATATAGCAGGCAGAAAATCTTAAACCCAGCTTTAAAGATTTATCAAAACATAATCTCCCAGTATTCTGGCATTCATATAAAAAAGGATTGCTCAAAAAAGTTCATTTGAAGATTAGTTCACTTTCTCACTAGTTATATTTTTATCATATAACAGCCCGTTATTTTGGAGAAATTGGATTAGATTTTAAGACTGTGTTGATAACAGATTTGTAATACATAGCTTTGTAATATAGTGTTACATTATTCAACTACGATTAGCAGCAGATGACCACTACAGACAGAACTTATGCAACTTCAATTATTATTACATGCTTGATATTATATAATGTCTTAGATCATTAAATTGATCTCTGTGATTTAAATGGAAATGTACAAATAACTTTTCTTTCACCTAATATGATGCTTGATGAAACCAATGAATCAAGGTGTCACTGCAACATTTAAGGCATATTATTTGCATTTTTGCAAGCCAAAAAACCCCCAGCAGGAAAAATGCACCTAATTTAATACAATCTTCTAAGAGCTGCATCATGATAAATTTAATGAAACTGTAACCAAAGCATACCATATAGTAACAGCAAAATAAATGATAGAAATATGGAATTTATACCATACAATATAATGCACATTTTGACACTATTTATTATTTCTGTTCTTAACGCTCTCTTATCCCAAATATTGTACTGTCCTGCTGCATATAGAAGCTAGTGTCAATGTCTGGAAGATTCTACAGACTGAGAATTATTGCTCTAGTCAGGAACAAATGACCAAATCTTAAGAAGATCAAAATAACCTTTTTTTTTTTTAAAAATTTTTTATTATTTTTATAATTAAATCTTAAATTAATAGAAAGGCACTGTTTGTGTAATAGATGAACCTTCACTACTTACAGATATTTAAATTGGCATAAATAAAATTAAATTCAAATGTAGTTAACATAGCCTGAGATTACAAATACACACTAGACTACTTAACTTAGATAATAAGCAGCATGTATTTAAATGTCAGCTAGAAAGTGGTGAAGCCAAAAATAAACTTGGCAGAAGTAGCCACAGCAAACGACAGCAAGATGAGGCTACCAGAAGCTCTCAGCTTAATTATACAATAGCTAGTGTGCAAAGTTATAGTAAAGGTTCCATTCATAATAGCTAGTTAATTAATATAAAATCCTACAATATGCAGCATAAAGTTTTATAATATCAGTTCTGCCCCCTGTTTCTGTTATCAGACAAATGACTATTTATTTGATGGTTTTTGACTTTAGGTCTAACAGAAACTTTTTATCTTTTGAAAGGATACTAGGTAAAATACCTTCTAATTCTAACGAGGTAACGAAACTAGTTGTTTCACCATGCAAAGCAGGATTCATGCCATTAAATGTGATGAAGACAGAACTTTTTGGTGATACATTTTTGTCACATGATAAGCACATTCTATAACTGCTCTATTTTATAGAATCAGCAAATTATATATATGCTTTCAAAATGCACTTCAACTACTTTCCTAACAGATTAACCTTTCAAAAATTCCTAATAATTTTTACAGCCTTTACACCAATAAATATCAGGAAAGTGATTCTGAAAATCATCAAAGTACATTCTAGTGTTTCAAAATAACACAAGTATTTGTCCATTTATCACAATTAATTAAATTGTTTACTTAAATCTGATATATTCATTGGAAGCAAAGAAATCTGCAAGCCAAACTAAAAGAGCAGTAATGTTTTATATCAAGGAACATGAATCTTATGGCCAAAAAGACGAAATTAAGCAATATTCGATACCTAATCATTGTTGGAAATTTAATCATAATTTTGACTTTGGGTCTGCAAAAATCATTCAAAAAGCTTCTTCAACTGGTCAATTAGATTTTCTTGAAGCTTTTCACATTCACAAAGATTTATATTGTTTAGTTAATAACAAAGTCCAATCCAGTCATTCACAATGCCTTTAAAATTCTGTTAGGTTTTTCAATTTTGATAATATTTTAGCTGATAGATGGCACTACCTTCTCATTCTCGATACTGTGGAGTACAAATACAACTATTATGCCCGCTGCTTTCCAATATCATCATTCATCATTTGATCATTACTTTGAACACTAAGCTCTTAGAGATAAATTCAAAATTTTGCTCGTTCTTCATCATCGAATTTCTTGTTTTTTATGCAAGTATATCTTTGGCATATATGACTCTCTTGGGCATCACGTGATCGCACAATGTTGACTAGGAGTGGCGCTCAGAGTGTCAAAGCTAAAGACCACCCAATCGGCTCCCCTTTTTATGGAGATTAAATCGACTTTCTGACTTAGAAAGTGACTACTGTAAGATGCATAACTTTGGCACAGGCCTTACCCCTGTTGATTGCAAAAATTTAATTGCAATAGAGGATGAAATTCACATGCACACTTCAATTTTTAATAAACCAATACCAGATGATGAAATACCACTTAGTACTTCACCAAACAATAAAAGTCAGATACTAGCTATACTTGAAAACAATACTCATACTACACCTCCCCGTAGTCCTTCTAATAACTCAGTTGCAACACCTACCAGCCCATATTCACTCACAAAAATAGAAAGTGATAAGTGCAAAACTATTCCCAAGCAGAAAACTAGACATAACTCACAGGGCGGTAAATGGCCAAAAATGGTAACCACTAACCGATTCAGTACTCTGGATAGTAAAGTTCCGCTTAATGAAAACTCTATCCCAGATGAAAAAAAATGCAAATTTTCAAGAGCCAAATAAATATGCAGGCAAAATACTGCGACTAGTAATTACTGATTAATGCCCTTATAAGGGCACACCAAATTATGATGCTTTGTGTGTGCTTTGTATCGGTTCACATCCAGCATCATCTATTCTATGCCCAAAATGCCCTGGAAATGATCAAAATAATTCCAGTGTCAATCATACTGAAAAGAAAGCCATTAAAACAGCTCCTTCTACAAGTTTAATTTCTAACAACCAACCAAAAGCTCAGGATTTGTCACGTGAAAATGTATACCAATCAACAAATTCTAATCTATCTTATGCTAATGCAGTCAGTAATAATTCTAATATTAAAGCTAATTCTACAGAAAATAGTAAAAAATCTAATAAAAATACAAGATTTATGAGAAATAATGATAAAAAAAAATCTGAAGAAAAACCTTAACAAATTCATCTCTTTCATATCTTCAATTTACGATCTCTACGATGACTTTTGTAATACTGTTACGAAAAAGATGGCAGTCGCCTTCGAGGCATTAAAGATATATGAATCTCTTAATAAAGATTAACCACACCAGTACCAACTGTTATACGAATATGCAGCGTTTCAAATACGTGAAAACTGTTTTCTACAATTGAAATGGCTTAAAAAACCAGCACCTTCCAGTAACACAATTTCTTTTCCAAAATAACCTTGATGTCTTTCTACTAAACAAAACTCATCTTAAACTCAATAGTATATTTAGCATCGCCAATTATACAGCTTACAGGCAGGATTATCTTCATAACAGTGGAGACAGCCCTGCTATTATCCTCAAAAAATTCTATGAAACATGACACTTATGATCTACCCACATTTAATAGCTTTTAAGCCTTTGGTTGTCTGATCACTCCTGATCTGAACACTCCTGATCTGTATTTTCACTTTACTTAAATTGTACATAAAATAATCTAACACTCAAGATATGATAAAAAGCCTTCAATTGTGCCCTATTTGGAATTACACTGTACCACTATAAAGCCTTTACTGGAAGAATTACGACTCTAGTAGTGTTCTTTGATTAGACGGGACTAGAATAAAAGATCATGACCTGACTGCTTTCCAGTCTTGCAGATTTCTTTGCTCCTGACAAAGAGGCACATTTACCTGCTTGCCCTTAAAATCAACTGAGATCTTGACATAGATCTATGCCAAATTCAAGGTTGTTGTGTTACTAATTTTATATTTAAAATATAAATTGCAACATAGAATTCAGAAAAGAGATAATTATGCAGAAAATTCATGGGAAATTGTACCTCAAACACTTCTCCCACATCGAGGTTCGAAACTTTTCTCGCTTCCCTCACATAACACATCTCAAAATGACAAAATTTCAAGCAAAGAATGGCTACTCTCCTTAATTATCTACCAGACCATCTGAAACAAGGCAGTTGCTGCTTTTTGTTCGAGGGGACTGCCTTTCAACACATCTCTTATAATCTGAAACTGCCTCTAGCCTGCCTATGAAAATCTGCCATACTGGCTTCCCATTGGTATTACCCTCATCCTTGTTATTAGGAGGTGTGAGTTATTGGGCGGCATTATTATGTGATGAAAAATGTTTTTAGCATTTTGCTCTTGGTATCTTGTATTGCATCTCAGTTTTGCCTGTATTTCTTCTTCGATGTGTCGACCTAATAGCAAAACTCACAGGCTTTCTGCATTTCAAGTAAATTTTAAATATATTGGTCTAAAATTTCATTTTTTGTCAGCTTTCAGATTTTAATAGCAAAATTTAAATAGTGCTTTGAGAATGGAGTGGTTTTTCTCCTGTGTATGTTAGTAATACAGCAATAAATCATCATACCATCATTCTACTGCAATAACTGCTAGTAAAGCTTTGAAATAAGAATTCTGTAGCCTTTTTCCTGCCATTAATTCATAACCAACATAAAATAAACTATTTCTGAACATATTTACCTTGATTATTAATCAGCAAATAAAAAAAAATCAGTGATTTAATCATCATGCTCTACTATCATCCATTTCATATGATGTTCCGTAAAGCCTATTGGTACTAATACTTCCCTTTACTGAATCAGAAATCCTCCTTATGAGCTAATGATTACACACACATTAAAACAAAATATAATCAAGATATACGTCAAGATATAAAAAGATTCTATAAGAAGTTATTTTATGAATGGCCTTAACTTTGTAACCACTAAAAGAACTTACTGCATAATTCATTTACACACAATTTTGATGTTAAAGATTTCATTTTATGGTATTTTTTATCCAATCCATTTCATTTATTGGTATTTTTTAACTAAATTTGCCAAATACTAAACTAAAATTCGGCACTGCATCTGGATTTTAGATATAACTTTATTTACAGTTATTTCAGAAAATTCTCATCCGCCCCCAATTCTGTTAGTCATACTTCTATTTATTTTACAGAATGCTTAAAAACAACAGCAACTCATATTTACTAATGGAAGACCCTCCAAATAATTACACTTAGAATTATACAACAAAAATACCTGTATTTTGTCATCTGAGATTTTAGATACAACAGTTCCTCTAAACCACTTCTTCTGAAAAGTACTCATTACAGCATATGCACTACCAACTGTACAGTCTATCAGATCTCCTTCCATATTTTCATATGTTTTCTGCATATCATCCATTAGCCTTTAAAAACATTCATTTGTATTACACATTTTGTAGTTATTTATTACAGAAAGGCACAGAACAAAATTAATAAGAGATACAAAATATTAAGAATTATTTAATGCAGCTGAAAATACAAAATTAATAAAAATTCTGACAATAAAATGCATTTGCATACGAAGTACAAGATATATGCACTGTGACTCAACATAAAGCGAGCAACATTGTAAGACATTTGTATACATTATTATATTTATTTAAACAGCATAGTTTCATTTAAATTAAATAGACTCTAGAGTGCATTGTGAATACCTTACAAGCTTCAGAGCAAATACTCTGAAACACTCAAGCTAATGTTCATAGTTACTGATTCCATGTTTTCGTAAAATCAATTTGATATAACTTTATTTTGCATTAGAGTATTTAAAAAAAATTAACTAATAAATAGGAATGAACACAAAAAAAAAAAAAAAAAAAAAAAAAAAAAAAAAAAAAAAAAAACTGTATTAAGTGATCTCAGAAATACTGCGAAATAGAATAATTCAGGGAATAGCTGAAATATAAGAGCCATTATATGGCAGCCCATAATAAGAAATTAAGACACTTCATTACCACAAAATTTTTCAGGAAAAAATTTCATACCCCTGGATTAATTACATTAAATCAGTCATATGTCACCATGATTCTTTTATTATGGTGACGTACAACAGAGCTTAATATATACAGGGCATTTAAAAAAGGAAGCTATGGAGTTTTTATGTTTTAAATTTGAATTCCAGTTTAAATACTTACAATGTAAACAAAATTTTATAGAAACAATTTCAACATTAGAGGTACTTAACATAAATTAAAAATTGGGGTTTTATATCCTTTGTCAGAAAAGTTACAGGACAACAATTATTTTTATTTATTTATTTTTTAATTATTATTTATTTATTTTCTCCTGAGTTTGCAGTACTAAAATGGAACAAATGCTGTTTTTATGTTACCTGGTATGCATTCTTATTTGACATGACTTGGTCATGTTTCCATGCAAAACTTTTACTAGGTGGCAGGGCTGTGCTTAGCAACACAGTGTTCAGATTGTCACATTCGTTAAGAGGGACACAATAGATGCACATTGTGAGCAAAGAGCGAACATTAAGTTCTGTGTTAGGCTCCGGAAAATTCCTAGCGAAACAAGGAACATGATTAAGCAAGTATATTCTGCAAGGACCTATCAAGAAATCATGTTTTCGAGTGGCACAAAACATTTCGTGAAGGCAGAGACTCAGTGCAAGACAATCCCAGAGCTGGTTGTCCATCTATACCACATACTAATGCAAACGTGTAGCGTGTAAGACAGTTTTGTAAGAAGACCGTGTTATAACTGTGCATATAATATCAGAACTGAATTTGAATCATGATGTGTGTCATATGATTTTATGTGAAGATTTAGGGAAATGGAAACTTAATGCAAGAATCATTCTTCACTCACTAACAGATGAGCAGAAAGAGGAAAGACAAAGAATTTCTCCTAAACTATTGGATAGCTCCAGACATGATCCCACATTTGTGTCAGAGATTATTGTGATTTTTTCTTGTTTCTGTGAAGAAAAATGTGTCTGAAGGGAAAGCTTCATAAAGATTATTGCAGACATCCAACAGGCTGTGACAAATGAGCTTCAAAACGTTGCAGTTTAAGATTTCCTTGCTTGCTTTCAAGAGCTCTACAGACGTTGGCAGTTGTGTATAGATAGCCAAGGAGACTACTTGTTAGGATGATTACTTGGTAAATGCAATTTTCTTGTTTTTATGACCTTAGTCCAGAAACTTTTCTAACAAAGGATGTATATTAAAAAAAGTGATACGAGAGATAATTTTTCATGAAATTCATTTATGATTTATTTAAAAGAAGGTATTACCGTATTTGATGGCATATAGATGCACTTTTATTTTCCTAAATTTGGTCTCAAAAATGTTACCTGCGTCTTATACGTGAAGGACACAGGTTAACTTTCAATACTGAATGCTATTTTTAGCCCGGATAAAGGTCTAGACACACATAACGTTTTCTACATCTGCTATAATTATTTTGTGCATGCGTGAAATATCTGTCACCATAAAGCGCCAAAGCTTCAAGCTGATGTCGAAGTTCGAACAGGTTCAACGGTCACATTACGTCTATGGAGCCTTTCCTTCTTTACATAGACTTTCTTGACTCAGCTGGTATCGGTGCTACTCTGTATAAACGTGTCGGTATCGGTGCTTAAAACTATTTGTTTTAAAAAAATACCCTGGAAAATATGAATACAGGAAACAAGAGATTAAGCTATACAATTAAGTATAAACTAGGAGTATTAAACTACGCCAAATTGCATGGAAACAGAGCAGCAGCAATGCATTTCGGTCCACCACCTACCGAAAAAATGATACGTACTTGGCGACTGCAGGAAAATCAACTGAAACTGCTAAAAAAACAAAAACATAACCTTTGATGCCCAGCTCCATCTTGGCCTGAATTTGAAAATGCTGTAAAAATGTGGGTGATAGATAAGAGGAAATCTCGGATAAGTGTTTCAACCAAAATGATAATCAACGAGCCCAAAGGATTTGCAGAAAAACATGGGAATCAGAACTTTTCAGGGTCTGAGGGCTGGTGCTACAGTTTCATGAAAAGGCAAGGCTTATCAATGCGCACAGAAAATGCCAGCAGATTATGAAGAAAAAATACTAGCATTTCATAGGTTTGTTATAAATGAAAAAAACTTCTTTTGATCTCGGTCAAATAGGAAATATGGATGAAATTCCACTCGCATTTGATGTACCATCCAACAAGACTGTGAGTATTAAATGGTCTAAATCAATAACCATAAAAACCACAGTCATGAAAAAACCCGATATAAGGTAGTTCTAACATGTTGTGCTGATGGCACAAAACTACCGCCGTTTTTCAGATTCAAAAGAAAAACTCATCCGAAAGAAAAACTTCCAATGGGTGTAATTGTTCATGTTCATCCGAAAGGCTGGATGGACGAAGCTGGAATGAAACTGTGGTTACAGAACGTATGGGCGAGGCGACCTGGTGGACTCTCGCCCATACGTTTTCTGACTCTCTTTTGGTTTTGGATCTGTTTAGCGCCCATAGAACTGAAACCATAAAAAATAAAGCAAGAGAATTAAAAACCCAGATAGCTGTCATTCCTGGTGCACTGACTAGCCAATTGCAGCCTTTAGATGTATCGGTGAATAAGCCATTTAAGGAAAAAGTGCGAGAACGATGGAACAAGTGGATAGGAGAGCCACATCATGCCCTCACACCCTCAGGTAGAATGAAGCGGCCCTCTATTTCATAAGTGTGTGAGTGGGTAAAAAGATCTTGGGAGGATGTAAAGGCTGAAGTAATTTTTAAGTCCTTTAAGAAGTGAGGAATCAGTAATGCTCTTGATGGAACAGAAGACGATGCATTATTCGAAGAAGGTGATACTAGCGATGACGGAAACATTAGTGATGACGATATTCTCGTTTTCGATGACGATGATAGTGAAAAGGATTTTTATGGTTTTGAAAGTGATTAAAGTCTAATTTCATGATAGGCAACGTTTTCCTTGAATCTGTGTTTTTTGTTGTTTCTGCTTTATTTTGTATTATGTTTGATTGCTTGCCGTTCATTCATTTATTCATTATTGAAATTTACATATCATGTTCAAAATAGCCTGCCGCTTGTTAATTTTCCTTAATAAAAATATGTTTGGTAATTGCATTTAATGATTGTTTATTTGGGTTTTACGAAACGTTGAGAACTAAAAGAAATCACGTTTTAAATTATTGCGGTACCGCGCAAGAGCGCGGACTATTGAAGCTTTTTTACCTTGTGTGTGGCCTTCTAAATAAAGATGCTTCTTATATGCCGTCAAATATGGTAATTCATTTTATATTAAAACGTTCTCATCACTAAAATGAAACTTTCATTTTTGCAAGGCACTAATCTGAGAGTATGATAAAACATTGATTAACAAATCAAATGCATAATAAAGCTCTTAACATAAAGAATTTTCTTTATTTATGCTAAAACTTTCATAACACACACTACTAACTTTTACACTAAAAAATACACAAAACTTCATGCCTAAGTAATATTGTCTTCATTTTCACTCAGGAATTATGAAAACTATAATCTCAAAAAATATCAAACCCGAGACCTACCAATTATCTGCTATGTGGGCTGACTAATGAATCATAAAGAACAAAAAAGAAAAATGTCTTTCATTTCTGTAGCATTAAAAGTAACATTCTGATGCATTCTGAGCAAACTACTACTACAATAACATTGAAAATTTTCACACAGATGAAAATAAAACTTAATAGACCCAAAATTGTTCCATTTTTTTTAGCAGCAGTGATATAGCGTGGCTCGCAAGCCATGTGCAGATATTGCAGTCGAGTGGTGTGGTTTCCACACAAATAATATATTTGTATGAAATATGATAAACTAAAACTACACAATGTCCAAAAGCAAAGTTAATTTATTAGTTTTTTTTAGAAAGTTATCAAACTGATCAATGTTCAAAAGTTAATTATTTTATTACATTTTTTATTATTTAAGTACCTTAATAATGTTGTTCAAAAAAATAAATAAATGAAAATACTCTACTGATCCTATTAAACAATTTTGTAAAGAAAAATCTTTACAACTTAGATTTATTTGCTTGTGGATGCTTTGTGCTATGGATGGATGTTCGTAGATGCTTTACAGGGAGGGTCTGCTGAATATCTGAATAGCAGTCTGGTAGTAGCAGAAACTAAATTGGATGTTTTGTGAGCAGAAAAGAAAACGCATGTAATGTCTTAGAAACATTTAATATCATTCAGAATTTGATACAAGTTAAAAATGGTTTAGGAACTGATTCAATGTCCAAACTGATGATAAATTTATGGCAATTGAAAGCTTTGGAAATTTCTAATAAATCTGATGACAGTTACAGCTTAGAAGACAATGCTAAGTTTAGAGAATTACAAGAATCCGTAAAATTTGAGAACAA